TGTGTGAGGAAACATACGCTGAGAGGTTAGGTGACTTACCAAGGTCACGCACTATGTAAATGATCTGGCAAGGATTCAAAGTCCAAAAGCTTTTAAACAGTAGAATACTCTCCTTCAGAATCTCATAGGGTAGGTATTATTATAGCTATTTTACTTTTGCAAAAAAACCAACTGAAGTTAAAAACAGTGAAGATACATATTATAGTTAATAAATCATAGAGCTGAAACCTATCTTTTTTTTATTTCAAAGCCCATTTTTTCCCCATTATGTTACAATGACTTTCATAAGAAGTAGTATTCAAACACCACAGGTGAGACGGTCGATAATTGCTTCATGGTTAAAGAAATGAATAAATTAGCAAATGAAAAGTAACTGAGGCGTGCAAATACCACAGGAAAAATAAAATTAAAAGTTGAATGAAGTTGAGAATAACAAGGGAATCCCATGCCTAAATCTAGTAATTTCCCAAGCAAAGCAGAAGTTATCAATAAATTTAAAAATTACCAGAGACCTCAAAGGGTCTTTCGGACAGGGACACTGCTCAAGAGAATTAGTGGGCGGAAAGAATTTTAAAAACTCTCCCCTTCTGAAAACGCTCCACAAACCGACAAAAGAAATAAACAGAACCCTCAGCGTTTCACACCTAGACAATGACGGTATTGCTAAAGCTTATTGGAGCGGAGATGCAAACACTCTTTTGGATCTTGATCCAGGATTTAAATGTTTTCCGACCTAACGGTCTTCCTTCTATCTAAGCAACATTTAAACAAGTAAACCCATTTTCTCCATTTCTGTCTGTGGGGAAATAGGAAATGCCAATCAGCCTCCAGATGACAATTTCTCCCTCAACAGAGACGGGAGCGCTGTACCTTCCTAAAAACCCTTCCTGGTAGGCGGGTAACAATCCAATCTCTACCCCTTCTACCCTTTCAGGTTCAAAATTTGGCCCTTAGGATTTACCATCGTCCAGAATATTTAGTTTGCAGTTCGCTTAAAAACTATCGATTCTGCCTACAAACGTCCGTTGAGCAAAGGCTGGCAGATGGTCCCATTGCTTCTATGGCCAATCAACTCCAGCAACCAGCCAATCAGATAGCAGTTTTCCCTTCTTGGCCAATCAGAGAGCAGATTTCCCCTCTTGGCCCATCAGATAGATTTCCCCTCTTTTCCCGAAGCAAGGAAAAAAAAGAGAGCCAAACCGACTGAGTTGCCTTTGATTGTGGATTGTTCCAGTTCAATACATATAGTGAACTTATTAAGTGAAGCCAAGACAAGTATCACCAAATTCACTTATTTGACCCCGAAGCACTTCAACTCTCAGTACAGAACTGTTTAAGCTTTTTAAATACAGAGACAGCCATATAATATTCCAATTTTATCAACCATTATTTATAAACCACTTAATTATATTAAATCTTTTTTAACTTGCTTCTGGACCCTCTAAATATTTTTTCATCTTTCCTATTCATGACAAATGATAATCATTTGACCCATTTGTGGGAAGGTCACATACAAAGCAAGATATTATATGGAAGTTGAGCATCAATAACGCTGGTAGTACTATTAAATTATGTCAGTAATAATTGCTGGTGCTTATTTGATGTGGTTCAATCGCGTAACTTCTATTTATGACAGGGTCCAACAATCATAAATGCGTTATGAGGAGTAAGGGAGAAATATTTATTTTAACTGTAACATTGCTAAAAGTAGGTTTCCCCATGTTTCATTTTCCATCTGCCTGCATCACTCGCCAAAGTCTAACCCAGGGAAGGAGAAGAACCTGGGACAACGAACCTGTGGATGGATGTACCTAATTCCCTGAACACGTGACTCATGAGAGGACAGCATGAACACAACTAATAAAAATATCAGGATAGATTCCTTTCAGGTAAACAGTGTGTTCAGCGAATACTCCAAATTCATAACCTATCTTACCATCCAAGTGCCCACGGGGTTACGAAAGCATGAGCCGTTATGAAAATAGTGAGATGACTAATGAAGAAGAATATCCATCGCTTTCTGTCGGGAACTTCTGTTTGCTTCTAACTGTTTAATTTCTCCTTTATCTCTCTTTCAATTAACCTCCCTGTTTGTATTCAATGAGATGGCACATAATATGGAAAAAGAAAAAAATCTTGCTGATTTATGAGTGTTCTTTCATGAAGTGGCAGCTCCTTCAGCCAGATGCCGAAGTGTTGAAATTGAAAGGAAGTGCGCAGCACATTAACTATCTGGAATGAGAAAACATGCCGGAGTTTCCTGGGTTGTTTAATCAGCGCCTCGCAAAGGCTGCTTTTAAAAGGGCCCCTTAGGCATCATTGTGGACAGATACAGAGGGAGGGAGGAGCAGGGGACAACCAATGGGACCTTTGTATGCCAAAATTTGGAGCAATCATTCTAACAGTAAAAAAGAGCAAAACAATGATGTAAAGGTTCCCTACATCTTTTAAAAGGTTCACTTCCAGGGTTTATTTTTAAATAAAGCAGGCCCTTCCTTTCCACATTGTTACTTATATGGACTACAAAAGCCATAAAATAAAATGAAAACAGTAGAAATGGAATTGTTAACTACGGCAGCAAGATAACGTTAAATGATAACAAAAGTCCCGTTTGTTACCAGACAACTGAAAAGTTGTTCAAGATCAGCTCAGCGCTGAGAAACTGACCATGTGATATCGCCAAGGTCAGTGAGAACAAAAGAATGATTTAATAACTGTTGGTTGGCAAGTTAAATCTGCCTGTTAACTTTATAGTACACTTCCTGGTTTTCTAAACTAGATACACATGTGTTTGTTGTACTTCCTAGGATACATGTAGTCAAATATGTAACATGCCCCCCCCTCGAATCCATTCACTTCTGATTGGGTGTGGAGGTGGGGAATCGCAGTCCTCTTCCCTGCTGTCCTCTGGTGTGAGGGCATTCTGGGACTTGGCAGGGGGCTGCTTGGTCACAGGGGTATTGCACTGTGCTCCGGACACCCCCAGAAAGGTACACAGACTGTGGCAGGTTGTCAGCTTTTCTCTGCCTTACTGTAGCGCGCAGGACATCAGGCAGTCAATGGCCTGCAAAGCCTCCCTTAGAGACTGGAGGAGGGGGTGCCACTCGAGATCGTGGGCAGGGGCGCCCCACAGGTGCTGTGCATGTGTGTGTGTGCCGCTGCCCCGCGGTTAGGCAGTAAGCTCACACACGGCGAGTGTGGCCTTGAGGATGCTGCCCAGGTAAGAGGTCACAGGGTAAGCCCGATCTTCAGACGTTTGTAGGGCTGGCCCTTGGCTGGCACCCGCAGAGTTGGATGTCCCCTGCCCTGATAAAGCTAATTTGCCCACCTGAAGCACTAAACACCCGCTTTCCTTCGGAGAGGCTAGAATGTGGGTGGCTCGGTTGTGGCTGACAGAGGCCACGTCCCTGAGCAGCTGCAATGAGAACCTTTAACTCTGAGTCCTCGCAAAGCTCCCCTGGGCAGAAACACGGCGCATGCGTTGCACGTCACTGCTGGAGAAAGGCACGCTGCATGCGACTGCTTCTGGGGGCAGGGGGAGAGCCCAGGAGGCCTGTGTGTGGGTCTCTCCCGACACCACCCGCTGCCTCCTGTCCCTGTCTGGTAACACTAGAGCCATGAGCACAAGCGCCTGGGTCCTATGTGCCTGGCCAATGGGTCACCACATGTAGGGGTGGCAGAGGGATCCTTGACACAAGGGTCAGTAAGATCGGCAGGGGCCTGATGACTATAAAGATCCAACTGCGACAATGATGTATGTGGTTTCAATTTTCCCTTGAAAAAATTCCTGGCTAACTGGTTCCTGTAAGCAAAAAGGGTGAAGTGCGTAATACTTACAGATGCAATAGAAGAAGAAAGCTTTTAAGGCACCAAGAGGCCCCCCAAAAACTTTATCAAATTTTATCCTACAGACACAAAACAATGTGGAGAAATGCCATCCCCCAAATTATGACGTTTCTGTAGGGTTGTGCCATTAATCATTAATTTTGTACCCTTTCACTGAAGTGAGGTGGGGATGTGTTCCAGCCGACCCTTAAACAAGGCATGGCCTGGGGCAAGGACTCCCGAAGTTGAAAATCCGCATATAACTCTGCCTCTGTGAAAGCCTGAGCTGTCTCCCACTATCCGTGGAGGACCGGTTCCAGGACCCTCCACGGATACCACACTCTTCAGACGCTCAGGCCTTCAGCAATGCAGACGTCTGGCCGCCTGCACCCGCGGACGGCCAGCCGTGGATCAAACACAGCGTAGGTACTTACGGAAAAAAAGCCAGTTGCCTGCACAGTTCAACCTGTGTTGTTCAAGGGTAGGCCCTGAATACCTGGAAGATGTGGTACTAGGTACACTGACAAGTGAAAAGATGTGCAATTCTGGAATCTCTAGAAACTGAAAAAGCCACATATTTAGACTTTTTTTAAATAATTTTTTTTTGTTATGCACTAGCGATATGGAACACTAAGACGTAATGTTCGACGAAAGCTTATTTGTAAGTAAGAAGTGGAATCATCTTTATGTTCATCCATTTCTGTGGCCATTACAAAAAACAGTGAATAAAAAATACTTTGTACTCAGGACAGCTGTTCTAAAAAGAACTAAATTGCCATTGTAAAATAATGCTCTTAAAAAAAATTCCTGTATAATAAAAATGAGTAAAAATTAAGTAGAGTGAGCTTTTCTTTTTGCAATTTTTAAAAAATTTAACAATGCTTTGGGGTGACACTGGTTAGTAAAGCTCTGGGAGCTGCACGTGCGCAATCCCAGGACACATCGTCTGCATGTTGCATCGTGTGTTCACCTCCCAAAGGCACTGCTCTGTCTTCCACCTTGTATCCGACCCCCTTCACCTTTTACTGTCCCCCCCAGCGCCCGACACCCCCCACCCCCCACCGTCTATGGGCCTGTGCGTGTTTGCCCAGATCGCCGGCTGCTTTCTCCAGTAGAAACCAGCGAGCAGTGAGCTCTTTCACGGACAGGGAGGGGACAGGGAGCGGCGGGCCTACCGATGGTGCAGTGCTCTCCGTTCCAGCCCTGGCTGCATTCGCACTTGCCGTCCTTGCAGGTCCCGTGCTCTGCGCAGCGCGGGTGGCAGGCTCTCTGGCTGCAGGCCGGGCCCGTCCAGCCTTCCTCGCAGCGACACGTGCCCCCCATGCACACGCCGTGGGAGCCGCAGTCCACGGAGCAGATTTCTGCGTTGAGAAGGGGAGAGGGGGCGGGAGAGAAGAGCAGCAGGCGGTGAGAAGGGGCACAAATCTCGCGCGCTGTGCCCGAGACCCAAGGGTGTGAGGGTGCAGAGCGCAACCGCGGAAAACAAGCCCAAGAATTCTTATGCCAAATAAATTCCAGCACCTACTCCTAAGAATATTAATAGTAGAGGTCCACTTTTGAAAAAATTCATCATTTAATTTTATATGCTGCCAGAACTGTGCAGAAAATACACGTGGAAATTTTGCTATAATTTCTTATATTCTATACGCGTGTGTACACATACATGCCCATAGCCTACTAACAAAACAGAACAGGTGATTCATAACGAGAGGAAAATACACACATATGTATCTGAAAGTATCTTCTGGCAGTCAAGAACATGTGCACATGTCTGTTACTGTATCAAATTAATATTAATTAATGAATTATTTCAGTGTCTAAGCAGGCATCTAACAGTAGCTGGATTTCGCTCTTACAGAAAAAAAAATTGAAAAGGTGTTATTTCTAATCCTAGAGTTTAAAATCTTTAATATTCAGAAACTTTCTAAACATAATCTGGTATAGTAGGCACATTAGCTTGCTTCTGAAACACAGGCATGCTGGGTACGTAAAGAAGTTGTCTTTTTTTTATTTGGTAATTTTGTGTTGTCGATGGATACAAGCTGCTTAGCAAAAACCACGGTGGGAAACCATGTTAATCTATGTAACTATGGACTGAATCATTTGAAAAACAAGCTTTTATTTTCTCAAATTGCTGGAAGCAGCGCAGTGTCCAAAGGACTTTAAAACCTATAATGGTAGGTTAGGTTTTTAAAAAGAATTCAGGTGTCAGGAACAATTTTTTTTCCTTAAAAAGCTTTCTTTCACTAGATCCCATTGAGGGAGAGTCAGAGAAAACTTAGAAGGGTATTTTATTTTTTACTCTCCAAATATAAAGTTAAATAAAATTAGCTATTGCTTTTTTCTAAGACTGCAAGGCTATTGTTCAGTTTCAGTTTTCTTGCAACATAAATGCCAAACACTAAAACCCTGACATCATTAAAAACAAACAGAAGGAATACAGCCTTACTTTTAAATTAAAAAAACGGTAACCGGTTATGTAGTCACATGTTCCTACTTTCCCCATTTCTTGCCCAAATAACATTTCTCAGACACCATCATTCTCTGTCTCCAAGTGCTGCAGAATTTTAAACACCCTGTCAAGCCACTGTGAGAGTTGTAACATTTCTTATAAACAACAGCCAGGACTATTAACTGGGAGAGAGTGGGACATGTTTTTTCATGCCACATTTTTCTAGCTCGTTTGAATTAAATTTTTGATTAAGAGATCTAAGATGCTTTGATTAACTTCAGAGAACAGGATGTCAACTGGGCTCCAGAAGAGAGAGGTTTCTTTCTGAGGCACCCTTTTTATTCAATCTAATCAATTTTTCATTAGGGTGAAGGTGTTTATCAGCGTTTAGCACACTAGCTTTGAGCAAGGTGCGTCGATCTTTGTAATGAACTTATTAATTAGAGTTAATTTAATTGAAGTGTAATTGAAGGGCTAATTAATGGGCAAACTGCTGATGAAGATAGAGGGAAGTTCTATTGCTTTCAAACCTATAAACTTTCTGAGGGAAATAATTCATTTCTTCTCTTCCAGCAGCCTAACCAAATGTTTCTTTGGGTGTAAAATCCACTCTCTTGTTGAATTCAGATATCTGGAGGTCATTTCCGCAACAGCATTAGAGGCAGCTGGTAAAGTGTTTTGCTTTAGGATTCAGTAAAAAATTCAGAATGATACTGTTCGTAAACTTTAAGTAACATATGTAAATGAATGTTTTTGTAAACTTTAAGTGAGAACTGTGCAATATGTAGATAAATTTGAGGCACATGAATCCAGATATTATCACAGGATGTGTGTATGCACATTTGAGATTGTTAGTAATAATTCTAAGTAAGTTTTCTATCTTTTTTGTAGCTAATAACAAAGTTTATCCAGTGCTTACTTTCCTCCAAAGAAGAATACTATACATTATTGAGAGTTTAATATATGTTACATTTCTTCTTTGCACTAGAGATATAAAGATAAATAGGCTGAAGTCATTTTGTACACAGGTAATTAGATTTTCTAATAGAAAAAAATTACATCAGCATAAAAATTAGCCTAAATATGTAAAATAATGATAGGGGATTATGGCAGCCAATTTAATATTTTTATTAACATTTGTATCTTTTTTGATATTCATATCACTATGAAGAAGGCTGAATTATCTTTTAAGTTACTTATATAAGTCATGAAATATCCTTTATAAAATAATTCGAGTAATGTTAAATAACTTTATATGAAACAAAAAAAGGGACTATTTTGCTATTCCTTTCCTACTTGTATAATTGTGGGAAACAATTAGAATGATAATATTTCAAACAAGTGTTACTTGATAACTAGGGTTATTAAGCCTCTTTTACAGCTGGAGTCGGGAAGGACTTGAACTAAATGTCTTACTATGCGAGTGATTATATCTATTAACTTTAAGTGGATATCTTCGTGGGATACATTTTTAGCATAAAAGCTGGAAATGTAAATAAAAACTCAACAGAAATAACTAAGTGCTTATTTTGACTTTTGTAATTATAGCATATATTTTGGGGAAAGGAGGACAAAACAAGTTAATGTGTTAATAAAAGAATGCCCTGCGCCCAGGCTTGGTGAGTGTTGGTTGGGGACGATTTCCGGACACCCTTCAGGGAGACCTTCCCGGCCCTGGTAATCCAGGCCCCAACCTGGGTTTTTACTTTTGTTGACCCTGGATGTTCTTTGCTTAGCAGCCATACACTTCCTAACCCAAGTTTCCCTTTTTTCTTGAGCTTCTCCTCCTCCTCCTCCGCTTTTCCTTTTCTTCCTTCTCCTTCTTCCTCTCTGTTTTCTGTGTTATTTACTTTTGCTCAGGGAGTCTGAGCATCCAAGCAGAACTCGTCACCCTCTGTCCTCCCTCATCTTCCCATGGCCACCATGACAGGACACCCTGCCCCCAGCCCCGTCCTGTGAGCCTCGCCCCGCCCCCGCATCCTTGTTCAGAGACAGTCACACCAACACGCATCTCCCTTGTTGCAGACTTTCAGCTCTTCTCACCAGGATTTATACTGTTTTCTTAGCAAGTTCTAATTTTCCCTCAAAATGTCCCTTAGCTCTATCCTTGTCATTGCTGCTACCTCCAAACCAGCTCATGCGCTCCGCACCTCAGTTCTCTGGGCGAGCTCCCCCACTTGCCTTCCGGCCGCCCAGGTCGCCCTGGTCACGCTCCGCCACCACATGCCATCTACACGACAGTCCTACATCGCTGTTCTCATCCTACTGGCGGGGGCGCATCTCCACTGACCGTAAATTCTCCGCGATCCACACCATCACTCCTACGTTGCATCCACCATCATGGGGCCCTGCCTAATTTTTACCTCCAAATACACTGTCTTCAGTGTCTCATGTGTATAGATATCCTCGCTGTTGGAGCTTTGCTAATAATAGTGGTGGTGCTGGGACCTATATTTAGAATATATTACAAGCCAAGCACTGCCCTAGGAACTGTACCATATTTTGCTGTGTATAATGCACTTTTTTTGCCCAAATTTTTAAGGGAAAAATAAGGATGTGCATTATACATGGGTCATATTAATTCTGTATCTACATAAATGTTTTTAATTCCTTTATTTATGCTTATGCATTAGAAGTGTAATTCTAGAAAGCAATAACAATATCTGTATACAAAATAATATCCTGGTGTATGATAATCAGTTTTGTTTCTACATATAAATAATAAAACACTGAATTAAAAAAATAAAAATGAAAGTTTTTTTCCCCCTGAAAGTTTGGGCCCAAAACGTGGGTGTGCATTATACATGGCAAAATACGGTATATGGCACTGATTCAAGTAATTCCCACTGAAGAAAGTCTTATGATTAAATCCATTTTATAGGTGAGTAAACTGAAGCATATAGTAATTTGCCTGAAGTTACTACAGAGATTGGATATGAACCTAAATATCTAATTTCAGAATCCATGTTAAGTACATTTTAATATTTTCTGAGTCAAAAATATTCTTCCCCACTCCTATAGTAACTACAATCTTTAAAAGGAAGGAAATGTTAATAAAAGTCTCTTTGATAACTTTCTTTTTTTAATGTGATCTTTATTGTATTTTTTTCCCCATTACCATTTAGTCTTTGAGAGCTTTCCATATGCATCAAGGCAGGATCTTTCCCCTGGATGTTGACTGAATTTAGCATATTTTTCCATGTAAAACTCAATAAAATATTAAACTGGAAGGTACTGGTTTCTAAGTGTTTCATGTGTGTTCATCTTATTTCCCCAATTACACTGTAATTTTCTTGACTAGAACAGCCTCTTTTCAAACTGTGTGACTCATGAGTGAGCCAAGAATTTAATTCATAGGTTAAAACCAGACTTAAAAAAAAAGAATAGGCTTATAAAAGAGTAATGACTGTATATCACTTTGGAAAGCTTTTGGCTCCGCTATGTGAATATATGCACAAATACGTATATTAGGTCACAAGTAAAAATGTATTTAAGACTGTAGGTCTTTAGGTCAAAAATGCAAAAGCCGCTCGTCTGGAAGGCAGGACTGGCTCACTCTGTGTTTATCTCCGCGGGCCTGTCACAAGGCCACACACGCAGCCAGAGCTCGTAACACCTGGACTGAGTACGGTTACCACCTGCGCTTCTGTTGTGATCATATGACAAGCACAGCTCATTTTATTGTGCTTCACAGATGTTGAATTTTTTATAAACTGAAGGCAAGACCTTCCACCAGCCAAAAGATCACAACTCACTTAATTGCGGGGGTCTGGAACCGAGCCCCCAATATCTCCGGGATACACCTACATTATAATTCGACACTCAGTCTTGAACTGTTATGTACATCATAATATCTATACATGTATACTGTTTATTGTGGTTATGTTTAGCTTTATGTTGTCCAATAATTTGTAATAGCAGCTTCTCTGCTATGAGATAGTACGCTTAAATTCCTAAGCCATATACAGGCCTTGAGAGTTGAGAAGACACAATGCTTTACAAAAATGAAAGAATATTCTTTACAATGACACTAAAGAAGAAATTTTAATGACAAATCGACTACCTGTTTCTTTCCTCTTTATAAGATAATTTCATTACTTTTAATATTTATTTTCATTAAAAAAATCACTTTTTATTTTTAATCCTCACCTGAGGATATGCTTATTGACTTTAGAGAGAGGGGGAGGGAGGGAGAGAGAGAAGGAAACATCAATGTGAGAAAGAAACATCCATCGGTTGCCTCTTGCATGTTTCCAACTAGGGACCAAACATGACACCCAGGCATGTGCCCTGACTGGGAATCAAACCCGTGACCTTTCAGTCTATGGGATGATGCTCCCACCAACTAAGCCAAGGGTAAACTATCACTTTAATAAAATCTATATTAAATGTGATGGGTGCTTTAAAAATTGCACGGTCATCTTTAGCTAAACAACATTGAGCCCTTCACTCTACTGCCTTTATGAACCTCACCATTTGAGCAGTCTGGCCCAGTCCAATTAGGGTCGCAAGTGCAGGAGCCGCTTTCTTGAAGGTATGTCCCATGACCGGAGCACTGGTCTGGACACATGGTCTTCAGGATCTCACAGTTGTTGCCGCCCCATCCTGGATTGCAGTGACATTCCCCGTGGATACATACACCGTGACTAGAACAGCCAGGGTCCAGGCAGTCAGCTGGGGTGAAGGGCAGAGAACCATGTCATGATGAAATCCAGAAGGCTGCATTTACCGTGCACGCAGAATAAAGAATTAAATCCCAACCTAGTTTGTGTAAACATTCTGGATACTCTAATATGTACCTACCATTTTTAAGAACTCGTTTCTGAACAATGCAAAGCGTTAGACAATAAAGCATTAAGAATCGCGCCATGTAATCAACTGCGACTCTTGCAAGGGTCTGTAGTTTTCATGAATTACACATGTGCGCTCTGGCGATTTCAGGCCATGGCTCTCTGTTCTGCCTAACCGGGGAGTAACAAGTATTGGCTTTTCTATAACAAAACTGGATTGGCTGACCTAACCCACAACCACTGAGCGTGGACAGCTGTAAGGGACCCTCAGACTGTTTGAGAAATGAACGAGCTGCATACTCTCTATCTTTCTTAATTCACTTTAATGTGCTTTAGACGACGAGATTTAATTTAGCAATTGGACTCAATAGAACTTTACACTCGTAGGGTCAGTGGCCTGAAAATTTAATTCCAGAGACTTAATTGTATTACTTTGTGTGTGCAGATCAATAAAATCAATTTGACTGAAGAACAGATATGGTGTTTTTCTGCTTTTAGAAAAAACAATTCAACTGCATTTCACAGTGTAGTATCTTAACTATTACCATTACAGAGAGTATGAACAAACCCATGATGTCGTTCTTTTTCATTAGTTATTATGTTCAATAGCCTGTCTTTCTAGAGATGCCAGAATGCCTGATTTAAAAGCTGGTGTCAATATGAAAATCTGTTAAAAAAAAAAAAAAACCCTCCCAAAACAGCCTACCGCTGGTTTGAAGACACAAATGTTTGCTATGTTTGCTTACTTCCTCAGAGGAAAAAAAGGAAAGAATGATTCACACTGTTGAAAAAGAGCAAAGGGGCTCTTTGGTATTTGTTCTTTATATTAGTTCACATGCTAATAAAACAATGCATCCACAAGTATGGAAATCAAAATGACTTCCATAAGGAGGCAAATAAAAGACTGGTCTGCCACACTGAAGATTAGGACTTTAATCTGTTTCTTTTTGGGAAGATAACAATAGACTTCTGTAAACACTGACATGTTTACCTTCTTCACAGTTCTCTCCTTTGTACCCTGAGTTGCAAGCACAAGAGCCCATGATGCAAATCCCCCGGCCCCCGCACTGCGGGTCGATGCACTGCGTGGTCGGCACGTCGCACTCGGTGCCCTTCCAGCCGCTGAAACACAGGCAGCGGCCCTTCGAGTACTGCCCGTTGCCGCTGCACAAGACTGGACAGGCTGCTGTGAAATAAAACACGACACCACAATCAACAGCTGCGTTTGCCCTCGAGACTCTGAAAGAAAAGCCAGCGCCCAGACAAGTCGCCTGCCAGTTCCCCCCTTTCTCTCCCGTCTTGGGCCTTTCCTGAGTTACACGTGTTTCGGCGGCTTATCTATCTTGGCTTAAGGAAAAACAATCGGACTCGCATACCTCTTGAACAATCCGGACCCAGGAACCCCGGAAAACAATGGCAAGTTCCAGAAACACACTCTCCATTTCCATGGCAATTCCGGGGGCACTCCACCACGGACTCTGAAGCAGAGAGAAAGGACAAGCGCTTATTGTGTTGCCTGCCTCCGGCCCAAGGTCAACCCCAAGGTCGACGGTGGCACTTTGATCATTTCGGCTGCATGTTGGGGGAAGTAGGACTGGCTTGCTCCATTACCGAAACAGGCTTCCCGATCCTAGATTTTTCCAACAGTGAGGCACGGCCCTGCTGGTCCACAGGCAGGTGCGCTCGGATGCCTGCACGATGCCTGGTCCCCCTCCAACAGACTTGCAAATACTTCTTTCTTCCAGGGCCTCACCGTTTGTCACATATTCCTAAGTGAACAATCTGAAACTATTCCTCACAGTGAACCACCCTAGGAAGCGCTCAATATTGGTAAAGACAATTGTGTTTCTGCTCACCACAGTGTTTAAGCCGTAGCCCCAAAAGAGGTGCATGCAAGACCGTTCTTACCTATGACGATGGTATTAAAAGACACCTGCTCCGCGTTTTTCCCATCATTGTAAAAGGCCAGATGCCAGATCCCGGAATCCAAGTACTGGATGAAGCCGGCCTCATGGAGGCTGACGGACCGCGCCTGCCGCCCGGCCCTTTCCGGCTCCAGGAGGTTCCGCTGCTCTCTGGCGATCAACCTGCTGCCATCCAGGAGCTCGACAAAGTCGTACTGAGGATGGGGACAAGCAAAAGGGTTTAGTGGTCACAAATATTATGATCGATTGTGGCTGCTTCTCTCTTCTCACTTCTCTCCTTGGCTCTCATAAGCACACTATTAAAAAAGAAAGTTCCGGTTGACAGGTCTTCTGTGCGTAGCACTTCCAGGGATGATGAAAACTACCTACTGTGCATGCTTGTGGCATTTAAATTGCACAGGTCGTGTTTTCCCTTATGGGCTGAGGTGGTTTCCAAATGTATTTCACTCATCTGACTGATAAACAGCTTGCTGAGTGCAGGCGGTTTGGGGACATAAACAGAAATCTAGAACATTGCAAACCAAGCAGGCTTATTCTCCTGAGACCACTGGAGAACCCCTTAAGGCGTTCTAGTTAACTCTGACGGAGTAACAACTACGCTGGCTGGCATACTTACTCTGTGCCAGGATTTCATGATGCTCGGGCAACAGTTCTAGGAGGACACGAGTGTTTGCACCTGATGGGGGAGGGGCTGGCGCTCAGGAGCTGGGGCAGGGCTGCGCCTCACACATGGTGGAGTTGGGTTGGGAGCCCACGTGCACTTGGCTTAACGCTCGGACTGTGTCCTCCACAACGCTGTTCCGCCCTCTGTGACCTGACGGGCGGCCCCCAGCACCACGGAGAAACTCCTGGGACTTCACGGAGTTGCAGTTAGATTACAAACGTATAACAAGGTGCCTTCATATCATTGATCAAAAGTAAAAAAAAAAATGAAACAGGGCAGGGCTTCTGAAGGGATGGAAATAATATAAGCATGCCCAATTACGATGCCACTCATCGTTAAACTTAATTTTTGTTTTAGTGAGATTAATCATGAACATTGGGTACCTACAGTTTAACTGGAGAAGTTAAAGATAATTAAAAGTATGTAATGTGGTTGTTTGTAACCAGAGAAAATGCACTGAATTTGGAAAACATCGCAAAGACTTTCCAACAGTTCTAATAAACCTGTTACATAAATTTCTTAAAAGTAGAGTGATTCAGTTTCTGCAGTTTCTTCCCTAGTTTCATTCATTCCTGCGGTGTGTGTTGATGGTGTATGTATACTATGGTGCTATACATATTAATCATTAGGTTACAGTAGTATGCACGTCAGCTATCAATATTCTCCTTTCTGATAAACTCCTTAAATGGAATTTCATCAGCGTTCCATTTTTAAAAAAGGTTACCATATGAATCCCTTAATACAACCAAATAGGAATAAAATCAGTTGTTGAGTTAAATATGTTGCCCCTACTGATTACATGCCTCTACTATTACTAATAAACAATTTAGAATATCTAATTTAGTTTCCAACTAATGAAAATTTTTATTTAAATATAAAAACATGTCTTCTGTGTAATAAAACTGCATCATTTAACTGTGAGAAATATTTAAAAAGCTGTGCGTTAATTAGTTTTCAAATATTTTTTTTTTTTGCATTTATATCTTAACAAGGATGAAAATACTGACGAGGGTGGCTATTGGGCTTGTAAAAATTTCACTGGAATTTTATTCCAAAATTATCACAAGAAAATTGATTCAGTGCTTTTGAAAGGTGATTCTACCTCAAGTTCATTTTCTCATCAGACGGAAGTACTTGTAACAGCATGTCCCATGGCAGGGACATGGCCCCAATGCAAAAAAACCATTTTGTCTTCTGCCATTAAACACAATCAATGAAAAATCGAAAGGGAGAAAATTTTGAGTTTTAACTTGTCGTTTGAACCCTTACTCATAATGACCACTGTTCCCATAGAAAACACCACGTGCGTCACACTGGGAACAATAAAATGAGGCTGGCGTGGGGGGTGTGCAGTGGTGGTGGCCAGTGGCCAGCCCACGTTGGGTGTCCAGCCAGTTCTAGGCCCCTCTCGGGGGGCATTTCCCACGTGGCTTCAGGAGGGCTACTCAACTACCTAAAGACAAATGCCCCACTCAAGGCTGAAACTACCTCTATAAAAAGTTAATAAATTATAGGGATTAGAAATATTTAATAACCTTTGTTCTTAGGGTGTAAAGTAACCAATTATAGACAAACTTGAGGGACTTGAGGTTCGCTTTGCAGTGCCTGCTCATAAGATGAAGACATGGATATTTTTGTGCAGAGGAGTCCTAAGATCTTATGCCGTTTTTAGGATAAAATTCAGTTTCACCACTTTGGGGGAGTTTTCTTTCAGACAATCCTTATCCTTGATCAAGGTATCTTGGTGGTTCATTTTTGAACAGGCTAGCCATATGCTTCACTCAGTTCAGTTACTCAGATGAAGAGAACTCGAAATCCATGCACACTTAACTGTGTTTTTAAATCAACATTTTTTTTTTTTTGGCAGTGGCAAAGTCTCATTGCAAATCACTGGGATATAGAGGAAGAGGAGGAGACTTTACAGGTCATCTGATCTAATTCTTTCCTTTAACAGGTAGACACTAAGGCGCAGAGAAGTGAAGTGATTTGTTCGAGGCCACAAGGTCAAAAAGTGGGCAGAGGTGTGTGACTAGAAGCCGGGTTTCCAACCCCTCTCTAAAACAGCCTTCATGCAAATGCACTTAAATGACGTGAATCGGACATGAGGGAAAAGCAAGTCAGGTGACTCCCAGGCAGTGATCAGACGGACAGTTTTCGAAAGGGTCACAAAGCCTCTCAAAACTCAAGTGACTGCTCTGGATGGCTGGCCAGTTTGAATGATTTCTGGTTGATTTATTTAATGTTCCCCAGAAATGGAGAAATGTTCAATTTGGGCTGCTTTATAGCATATTTCATGATTAAACACTGAACTCAGAAAAAGTAGTTTGCTCTGATGATCTTGAATAAACCAGGGAAAGGAACTCTAAAGATGGTGGAGCTTCAGAAACTGTCTAATCTACTTAAACACATATATTGTGGTAGAAAAGAATGGTGGATATCGAGCACATTGTGTTTAAATACCAGAAGAATTATGAGAAAACTGGAAACTGCACCTTTTATTTCTCTAATCTTATATGGTGTATATTACCTGCAAAGAGTCAACACTAAATCTTTAAATAAACCTTTGAAGTGCATGATACATAGGACACTATTTTTTCTGAAGTTATTTTTGGAATTTATAGGTTACCTGTTCACTGTTGTGCTATCTATTAGCTTACAGGTAATGTGTTTGAGTTATACATAAATGACTTAATTATACATGTGGCTCAATGAATATATTTTTTCTATTTCACAGGAATATTGTTATAAATTCAATTTATCTGTTACAATTGACATTACAGATGCCCACTTCCATTTAAGAAAATCTGGTTATTACATTCTAGTCAGTGTCATCTATGGGATATAGCGGAGTCAACTGTAAGTTAAAATTGAACACTAGTACACAATAAAAAGTATTTCATTCATAAGGATTAAAGATATTTAGAAATGTAGATTTGAGGAATGTTAAATCAGAAAGTGAATACGCCAAAGCATATTAAAAAAATTTACAACTATCTAACTTATGTACATATATGACATCTTCCCTGATCCACAATGACATTAGAGAAAACATGTTCAAATTTTCTTGCTCATCTTTTTTTAAATATGTAATTTTTATTAGTATATGATCAATTTGTCTTTATAATTCCCTATTTTAAATATCTGTGATAGAAAAGCATTTCTCACAAAATCATGTAATATAAAGCATAGATGAAAATCTTCCAACCCTCATTTTATAAATCAAACTAAAGTCAAAATGAAATACCATGGGTGAAAAAACTGATCATCAAGCATAACTTTAACTTTGACCAATTGTCAATTTAAATGAACCATCTATTACATTTTTGGAATTCTTGTATTTACTAACATAGTACTAGTTGATCTTGGGGAAATATCTGAGCTCCAATTTTATGGTAGGTTTTTAAATAATTTCTCTTAGGCATAATGGGACCTCCTTTAAAACACGATTTCCAGTTGACCCACCACGAGCCAGTATTAACTCATGAAGAAGCCTGGGGGGGCGTTACTGATGGCGCCCCTCCATCTGCGACTTTACTGTGAAGTGATCTTACGCAAGCAAACGGACGTTCGAGTTCTTTGAGTCTGTGATATGAGAATGAATGGTTTTGAGAACCACGTGAAGGTGATCGTCCTTGGTTTTCTATAAAGCTCTTTTGCCCTTTTACTTCATTGTTCATCATTTGTAGACAAGAAATCATGGACTGAGTTGATGAAATTCCTTATCATCCTATTTATGTTTATGCCCCAATAATTTCCTTACTAAAGGGAAATCTGGCATAAAGTAAAAAGAATAATACATTTTCAATAGAATGAATACATGTTTCAGGTGAAAATGTTAAGCATATGTTACATGAAAGGAATAAAATCATCTGAAATTACCATAGAATTTTTGTCAAACACTTGAAAAATCCATAGTGTTTTACAAGGTGCTCAGATGATGTTCAATATTCATGAAGTTACTCACAAATTTTAGTACATTTCACTCAATCAATAATGGTTAAAGCAAGCCAGGAAGAAAATGCTATTCTTTCTATCAGTTCAAAAACCCCAAGATAAGCGTAACCCCACAATCGAAATTCTTCTCACTGTAAAAGATCAATACAAAAGTGGCCCAATAATTCAACAGTTGAACTTAAGAAACAGAATAACTTTAAAAATGCAAACTAGCAGTTTTCCTTTTATCGACAACCAATCCCCCTTTTACCTGAGTATGAGAAGGTGGTAAGCCTTTGCGGCCATACACTCCAATCAACGCATCCTTCTGAAGAGAGATATTGAACTTAAGAAACTGTGGCTGATCAATAAAGAGTTGTGATCTCCAGAAGACCCCGGGAGGAACCTCTTGAATTGCTCTTCGGCCAATATCAAGTTCTCCAGAATCTATGGTGTTATTTTCTTGTGTAAATCCACTTAATTTTCCTGAATGTAAGAAAGCCAACGAAAAACAAAAAATGAAACCAAAACCAAAAAACAGAAGTCTTGCTTCAAAAAGTTCTCTGTACTAGATGCAGAGAACTAGATTTAGCCTTCCCCTGGTAAACAAAATACTGCCATATAGTTTTCACTTTAAGAGCCTTTTTTATTAGATATTGTTAATTTAACTAACCCAAGCTTTAAGATATTTAAGTCAAAATCCTTTGACTTCCCCCAAGGTATGCCGATTACTGAAACTGTTTTCACACTTACAGTTTTTCTTGATCTCTTAAAACATAATTATCTTGCAAATTATATGTCTTGTTATTTTTTGGGAGAGATTAAGTCTGGTAGTTATCAGTCATTCTAAACATATTGAAGTGTAAATTAAGGCGGAATGGATTATGGAGATTTTCAAGTCAATCCTTAAACAAGCAACAGAACCAATCAATGGCACTGATTCAAGTGGTTCCACTAACCTGTTCTTTGGAATAAGAAATCAGAGGCTAGAAGGTCTAAGGACTAGGGGTGGGGGGAAGGCCGTGAAGGGAAGGGGAGAGAAGGCGGGGTGGGTTTCAGTTCTACACCATTGATGTGCGCTGCCACAGCTTCTCCTCTTTCTTTGGACCCTCACCTCAAACTCACTTTCTGCCTTAGCAGGCACACCCGAATTGTCCCTCCTAATGACCTACAACCTGTAAGAACAAAGACCCTTCACTTCCTCAAACTCTGCAGCCTCAGAGGGACCAGCTTCTCTCTTCGGCAAGGCCTGGGTTTAGCAGGCACATCCAAGAGTCCTTTCCTTTCTTCTCTCTCCTTCCTTCCTCCCTCCCTTCCTTCCTCCCTCCCTTCCTTCCTTCTTTCCTTCCTTCCTTCCTTCCTTCCTTCCTTCCTTCCTTCCTTCCTTCCCTTCTTCTTCTTCTTTTTTTTTTTTTTGTCTTTGGGTGTGGTGTTCTCCCCTTCCCTCATGGCTAAGGTTCTTTCTCATTCTTTCTCAGTAATTCTGAGGGGGCTGGTGATAGAGGAGGTCTGGTAATTTGCCTTAACGGGAAATAAAACCATGTTGTCTCTCATTCAGAAGGGGTCCATGAAGGTTAAGGGATGGAGTGAAAATGGGCAAATCACCCTCTATTAATGCAGTCTTTTTGAAGTCGCAAAATCGACTTACTACTAAGTTTGTCTTTTTAAAACATTAACCTGATCACTGTTTAAGATATTATATAAGATTATACGATAGCTCTTACATGATAGCCTCCAGAGAAACTGTTAGTTCAAAATTTAGAGGACTTAATATCAAATCAGAGAGTTGTCAACGATCTTAATTTAATGACATTGGAGAGTCTTTGACTATTTATGAAGAGTTATTACTTTAACATTGAGTTCTTTTTTGAGTGTCTACTAGCGACATAGAACTGTAGGTGAAAGGGGGAAATACAATCCAAAGAGTAGAATCTCAGCAATCGCCCACTCTGGCTGGCTCCCCGGCTTCTGCCATTAAGCAACTAGTTACCTGGTTGGGAAGACAACGTCTGCTCCAGTTAATGATAATCTAAAGGGAGCCGTGAGTAGGGTCAGAGGCAGGTGGCAGCCCTGGGGGCCGCAGGCTGAGGGACCTCGCGGGGGTTAAGTGCCGAGGGGAACTCTGAAGGAATGGTAGAACGAGGTTTCAGAGCCGGATGAGCATGACGATTGGAAACCTGGCCCGTGTTAGGGTGACACGGAGCCTTGAGATCCATCTGCCTCAAAAAGAGGTTGAGAAAACAGCTTTTGGAGCCATACGAGCCTGGGTTTGAATCCTTGCTCTCTTGCTAACGAGCTGTGGGATAGAGGGAAGACACCGAATCTCACCTGTAAAACGGGGGTGGGAACAACGCCACCTCAGGACTATCATGAGCATTATGCTCTGCGAAGCGCTTGGCTCTCAGGAGGTTTTGAAGGAGTGGAAGATGTCAGTGGGTTTGTCAGAGAGTTAGGGAAAACCAGGCTGAAAGGGGAGAGGGATCTCAGTCTGTGGAGGCTCTAAATGATGGCTTAAAGGATTTGGTCTTTATATTTCATGTTAGTGATTGTTTTAATATCTGTGTTTTCAACTATCAAGGTGTGTTATTTGACCCTTTTTCCCAAAGATGCATATATTCACTAGCATTATGTTACTATACATACTATGTATGGCAAGTTTTAAAGAGATACTTACAGTGGACTCCATTTGAGTGACTCGTATTTCAGGGCCACAAAGGCACTTATCCTGTATTGTGTGTGTGTGTGGGGGGCGGGTGTGTGTGTGTGTGTGTGTGTGTGTGTGTGTATGTGTATAATCAGGAGAATCAGAATTCAAGATCATGCAGAAACATGCCAGGCGATCGCAGACGACCATGGCGGGTACCCGGTTTACGGCCATTCGGGTCAAAAGCGATTCACAACCAAGTCACACAGAGAGAGGCATGTGGAGTCTGAGGGAGAGCACATGACTAGTGAATGCTGGGGCTGCTTTCCCCCTGGACTACCGTATCCTATACCATCAGTTGCAAAGGAGAGTGGAACGGAGACTCACTAAAGGTTCTGATCAGGCTGGCGGCAACATGAAGTCATTGTTTCAAGGACATGAAAGTGCAGCAGTGTGGGCACTTGGAAGTGAAGAGATGAGGCAGGACACAGTTGCAGATAACCCTGGCAGAGGCGGGGTGGGGGAGGGGGCGGTGTCCCAGAAAGTTTGATAGAAATGCATTATTTACAACCTCACTTCCTGTCTTTTTTTTCTTGATGTCCATAGTCATGGCAGTTAACAACTTTTCAGCATTGGGTCTACTTATTTTGAGTTAATTTAGTAATGTAAAGTGCTCCAGGGGATAAAAGTAAAAAATTGGGTTATAGTAATCATAATTTTTCATGTATCAACTCAAAGATGATAAATTATGCATCCTTCATTAAAATTTTAAATATTTCTTTTACAATAGTTATACATATTCATTTGAGCACAATTAGAATATATAATTAAATAAAAAGATGAAAAATACAATTCTACCATCAGGGATTATTGCTTCCCATCTATCCAGCCATCCTTTCTTTCTTTGTAGAAATTTTGGAAGACCTGAGACCAGTCTCTGCTTTTCATTTTAGATGCTTCTGCACAGGCACCTACATTTATCATGAATTAGCTGTTTTTGAAAAGCTTGAGGTGGGGGAAGAGAAATGAAACTTACCCTTACTGAGAACCCACAACATGCCTGACGGTTTCACCTGTATTACCTGTTTTAAACTTCAGAAAAACCCTATGAGGTCGATCTTATTTGAGATGAGGAAACTAAGGCTTAGAGAAGTAAATTACGTGGCCACAGTGAGCGGCAGAGTCGAGAGTCAAATCAAGACCTGCATAATCCCAACGCTATGTGTTTTATATAATCGTAAGTAGAATCCTTGCTTTTTATTAAAATAAAAACGTTATTTTAAATTTTAAATTTGTCCTTTTTCATGTAAAATCAGACATATTAACCCATTGAACCATACTAGTCAATCTGCTTAGCTTTCCCTTTTAGGACATAAAGTTATACTTATTTTTATTGGGAAGAAATAACCAGTTCTTATGAAATAAAAAACTACCATGGATACTATAACATCATATTCTTTGTGCTATAAGAGATTCCTAGTAAGTTTGATCTTTTGGTTGATTTCTGCATGAAAATATTTTTAAAATACTGGAGCATTAGTCCGTTTTCCTGCTAAGATCTGTTAGTACACATATCATATTTAAATATGGAAATAGTTTGTATTTGGATACATTCATAAAGTTCATATATATCTAGGGCTATTATTATACTTAATTGTTATTAACAAGCTCTATTGTTACTCTCTAAAGCTAATGTGATTTAATCTACTCTCTGGTGTTTATACTATCTGTTGCTGCTGTGAGTGGTTTTAGAGGCAATAGTAGCAAACCTGTGCTTTGAGAGCTGGTAAGCATAAAGTGGTGTTAACCACAGACTTTTTTCCAGAATATCCTGCTTTGAAAATAGTCATTACATTCTGACTCGCAGGATTTCAGTGGTTTTGCTTTGTTGCTTTCTCCATGTGCTGACTTGCAGGGGTTAAAATCTTTCGCACTGAAAAATGCATACTGACTGTTATCAATAAGTGTATCTCATTACCCATTATTCCCACAGCTGATTTGACAGGTGAAAGATGGTTCTTTCACTTGTTAAAAAAAAAGAAAAAAAGAACCAAGCTGATGAGATGTGCTCAAATAGGGTACTAGTAGTTACAATAATGGGCTTCCTTCTCCCAGTAACAACAAAGCCTAATCACACCATCGTAGATTCAGTGCCCATGGAGGCCATTTGATCCTAGAGTCGTCAAACAGGTGGATCAACAGCTGAGGCACGAAGGCGTTTCAATGAGGAGAGAGGGAGGCTGTTCTAAGGCCATTCATTTCTAGAACTTTAACAACTTCCATAGACAGACTTTCTTTACGACATGGAGGCATGTGGCTCTCACACCTGGAATCTTACTATGCCACCCTGGCTCGGAGCATAAAGCCTCCAGAGTGCCGCACAAAGGCAAATTTTAAAGTTTTTGTTGCTGACAAAGCCCCCTTTATTCAAGACCCCATGAATCCAAGGGAAGGTCTCAGTCTTCCCTTGTCTTACACATATTTCTATCAAGGACAAAGTGTGGAGGTAAGAATGCGGTATGTAAGGCTGGTGGTCAGTTTTGAACTATGATAACATGAAGAAGGAGAGAAAACATTTTTGTTCACTGTCCTCACCACCCGCCCCAACTGTTGTCAAAGAATCATTGTCACCTGCAGGAGGGTTCCATGACTGCAAAGAGAACCTCGATGAAGTAAGAGATAGTCAAGGCAGTGACACGTTATTTAATCCAATTAGCAAACTTGTGACAAGGATCTGTGCTTTATCTCTCTTTCCTTGTCTACCTAGAGTAGGGATTCAGAACTGAGATGGTTATGAAGAAATGTATATAAATTTGAACTGAAATAATAAGTCATACTTTTT